ATATATAAATATATAAAATATAGGAAAAAAAAAAAAAGACAACACCACACGTTGGTGAGGGTGTGGGAAAATTCTCTGGCTGCCTTGTCACCAGCGGGACGAAAGTGGTGACGGTGCAGGACTGCTGCAAGTGACCACATGGTGGCCTTCCTGTGCGGGGCCCTGGCCACCTAGCAGGCTCAGACTAGCCTCACCAGAGCCACCTAACACACTGCAGGCGGGAGTGTGAACTGGTACAGCACTTTGGACAACTGTCAGTTTCTTTAAAAGTGAAACATAAATTTGCCACCTGACCCAGAGAAATGAAAACGAGTGTGCACACGAGGATTCGTACGTAGGTGTCACAGTGGTGGTGGCCGTTACGGCCCAACGTGGAAACAATCTGAGCCTCTACCAACCGCACGGATGGCAAAACCTGGTCTGCCCACGTATGGAAAGTTACTTGGTAATAAAGCAGACAGAGCCTGATACGTGTCACGACCTGGAGGAACTTCCAGCACACGCTAAGTGACAAGAGGCAGAGGAGATGACGTATTGTCTGAGTCCATTTGTGTGAACTGTCCAGGGAGATAAAAAGATACAGAGGCATGGGAATCAGCAGTTAGTGTAATGGCTATGTTGCTGGACTTCCACATAGTCGACCGCGGTTCGCGTCCCGGACCCGGTGGCTTAAAACGCACGCCGGATGCATTTGCGTGCGTGCCCAAGATCCCGAGAGGAGAATGGAGGAGAAGGGATTGCGGCGTGACCATCCCCCTGGGGGGTGATTTCTCGCTTTCTGTCTCTATGTCTCTCTCTGTCTGTCTCGGCCGCACCCTAGAGCAGAAACCTCTCCAAAAAAAAAAAGATACAGAGGCAGAAAGTAGCCGTGTGGTGGCCGGGGGCTGGGGCCAGAAATGGAGACTGCTTACAGATGAAAACAAAGGATTTGGGGAGTGTTGGAAACGTTATAAAATTGGATAGTGGAGGGACCAGCACTTAGCATAATGACTATGTTGCTGGACTCCCACATAGTCGACCGCGGTTTGCGTCCCGGACCCAGTGGCTTAAACTAACACTGGGTGCCCGTGTGCGTACACGTACCCAAGATCCCGAGAGGAGAATGGAGGAGAAGGGATTGTGGTGTGACCATCCCCCCAGGGGGTGATTTCTCACTTTCTGTCTCTCTGCCTCTCCAGTGAGTGGCAAAAATCTATAGCAAAAATCTCTCTGAAAACAAAAAAGCTTTAAAAAAATGAATCACATCTTGGGGCAGTAAAACCGTAGCAAAATCAATTCTACGACACAAGGCCCTCAGCCACAGAACTCGGAGTGACGGACAAAGCAGGATTTGGTGAACTGGGGGCCAGCAGGTGGCATGGTGGTTGAGGTGCTGGACTGCCATATGACGGACCATGGTTTGAGTCCCAGACCTGCTAGCTTGCTTTCTCTCTGTCTCTATCTCTCTATGGTGAGTGCAGGTGCCCTATAGCAAACTAAAAAATAATAACAATAAGTTAAATAAACAACTAAAAGAAGATTTGGTGAATTTAAATCTGCTCAGATTTGACAGGACAAGATTCAGACAAGTAATTTAACTAATCAAGGGTACAGTAGAATATGTGACTGAGGGCCAGCAGGTGGTGTGGTGGTTGAGGCACTGGATTCTCACATGGCCAACTGTGGTTCGAGTCCCAGACTTGGTGGCTTGCTTTCTCACGTTCCCTTTTTCTCTCTGTCTGGTCAAATTAAACAATAATAATAAATAAAATACATCATTATTTGGGGGAAAAAGGTATGTGATTGTACCTGGGATTTGCATTTCTCTTTTTCTCGTTTGAGATTATACCACAGTGACTACACGACAGGTGTGAATGAGAATTCGGTTTGGTTTTCCAGCCTTAAACAACCAGGTCTGTTCTCCCAGGAAAAGCACCACGTTTCCCAGTGTGGTGCAGAGCTGCCCGGGAGCTGTTCCTGCTCTGGGGTCCTGTCACTGCGGGCAAGTCAGCTGACCTCTCTGCTGTGGTTTCCTGGTAAGAACAGCAGGGATGACAGCGCCTCCCTCAGGAGCATTGCTGTCAGTACTGACTAAGGTAATCCTTGTAAAGAAGGGACCCCAGTCCCGTTCTCGCCCCACGGCTTTCCGGCATGTGGGCTCCCAGCCATTAGGTCTGCAGCGAGTCTCCCGCGCACGTTCTGCCTGCTAACAGCCCACTTCGCCAAGGTTTCCCCGCGTGGCTCTGTCGCCCTCGCCCTGGCTGTAAGGAAGCTAGTTAGCAGGAGCCAGGCTGCAGGAGGATGTGGGTTTTAATGCGTCTGCCCTGCTGATGCGCAGAGTCCCCAGGGAGCAAACGCTAGACCTTGCCCTCAACCTGCTGGAGACCAGGAGCACCCCTGCGGATGGTACCGGATGGAGACGGCTGCCCAGCACCATGCAGAGACAGGGATGGCACATGGGATGGCATGAACAATCGACGCCCACGACACATGCCCCACAGGAGTCCCTGGTCAGCACGCCCGGCCAAGCTGCAGGCTCAGAACTAAGGGGAGATGGAGCCCACCACGCGCCTGCGTCCACCACACAGCGCACGACGCACTGGCTTCCTCTACGGAAGCGTCAGCTGAAATAAAAGACGCCTTTTCGAAGCATAACCACAACAGCATTATGGAACGACGAGGGATATTAAATTCAAATGCCATCGTTTCAAAATCGCTAATCAATTAGTGGGTCCAGACGCTGAGAGCAATGACTGCTCATATTCCAAAACAGAGAAGCCACCAGACATCCTGAGTCTTCTGAGGCAAGGACCAGTCCCATCTTCAGGATCATCTTGCCAAAAACGTAAAAATAAGCAAAGACGAGCAGAACCTGGCCAAGCTCTTCGATCCACGTTTCTATGTGGCGGGACAAACAGAAGCCAGGGGAACATGGGACTCTGCACCGCGGGTGCAGTCAGCAAAGCCCAGACCACGGGGTGTGGGACTCTGGGCGGCGGGGGTGCAGTCAGCAAAGCCCAGACCACGGGGTACTGTAGCAGTGATGACAGACACATAACTTGCAAGGAAAAAAGGAGATGGAGGGGCCGGCCGATGGCATGGAGGTTAAAGCAGCTGAATCCCACATGGCCAACTGTGTGGTTCAAGTCCTGGACCCAGCAGCTTGAAAATCATGCTGGGAGCATGAGGAAGTGTGTCCAAAAGCCTGAGAGGAGAATGGAGGAAAAGGGATTGCAGTGTGGCCATCGCCCTGGGGAGTGATTTCTCACTTTCCCTCTCTCTGTCTCTCTCTGTCTCTGACAAGCACATGCACCCTATAGCAAAAACAAACAAACAAAAAAACGGGGGAATGGGGATGGAAATCCCACTTAGAGATTTAAAATGACTTAGGGGTACACAACGAATGTGAGCCAAACATATTGCACAGGCCTTACTTAAATCCCAGTTCGAAATCCCAAACTATTGAGAAGTTTGTGTAATATGTACAAGATACTAGGAAATGTAGACACTAATTACACATGTGATTATATTAGCGAATCGATGATTACATCTTCAGATATCACAGTGTGCAGCTGGGCTCGAACCCTTGTCTTTTGGAACTATACGTGAAGTCTGTACACGTGGCTTCTGGGATTCACTCCTGAGAGCTGGGCGGCCTGGAGGCAGGGAGCAAAGGAGCCGAGGCTGGAGGGGGAGGCTGTGCAGACACTTAGGGCTCAGGACACTACTTCGATATGCTTCTCATCTTCCGCCATTAACCACTACAACCTCCTAGAGGCGGTGCTCTACTTTTAACCATCACCGTCATGCACTTCCTCTGATTTAAGACGTGATCGATGGGACTAGCACTTGGCGTAATGGCTATGTCACCACACTCCCATGTGGTTGACTGCGGTTCAAGTCCCAGATCCGTTGGCTTAAACTCACGCCGGGCACGTGTGCGTGTGCACCCAAGATCCCGGGATTGCGGCGTGGCCATCCCCCTGGGGGGTGATTTCTCGCTTTCTGTCTCTCTGTCTCTGTCTTTCTGGTGAGCACATGTGCCCTATAGCAAAAACGTCTCAAAAAAAAAAAGGGGGCGGGGGGACATGATCGACGGCAGGATGGCTGCTACTTTATGTACTATTACCAATATCGGAGGAGCACTAGGGCTGCCAGCTAGTGAGGTGCCAGCAGCTGCACCACGCATCCCGTTTCAGAGCTGTTCGTGCAGGGACGATCTTGGAGTCGCCGAGCTGAGTGGTTATTATTATTAGCCATAGTCAGCACTTACACGCACACACGGTGCGCCCAGCTCGTACGACACCTCCTCTAAGTTCATAAAACGCTATGAAGAGGCTGTCCTCATTGTACGAGAGAGCGAGGTGAGCCCAGAGAAGCTAATTGACTTGCCTGGGGTTACACAGCTGGTGAGAGGCATGCGTCCCTGTCAAACCCAGGGCCTGTGTCCTTGCTCTGCTGGAGCCACCCCCAGAGAGCACAGCATCCCAGGGCAGGACAGCTGCACCCGAGGCTATTGCCTCCCCACTGCGGGAGGACTGTCACCTCCTCACTGCGGGGCAGTCCCTGTGGAGCTGGCGGGGAGGGCAGGGGCACTCACAGCGTCTGGATGGCCCGCAGGGAGGTGAAGGTGCCCTTGGCGAGACTCTGGATCTTGTTGTCGTACAGGGAGAGCAGCGAGAGGTTCTGCAGGTCCTGGAAGGCATCGGGCCGGATGCAGTTGATCTTGTTGGCGTTGAGGAGCCTGTGGGCACAGCCAGGACAGGGGTGAGGGGGAGGCAGAGATCAGATTCCTCACATCCTGGGCACCACCTTGGCCTAGGGCATGCGTTCTAACAGGAAGGACACCCCAGAATGGGCTCAGGAATCTGACCCCTGGATGCCCACTCCGGGCAGGGGAGCCGGGGAGCCGGCTGCCTTCTCTGCACATGGCACCTCAGCCTGGCCACACTTTTGTTTTAAGAGGAACCGCCAGAGGTGCCCCCGGGACTCTGGGGAAGCAGAGTGTACAGGTGCAAAGCCACCTCCCAAAGTCCTGCCCAGACTTCTGCTGGCTTCCCCGGGCAGCCAAGATGGAGCGGGAGGGTTCCATGTCTCTTGGGCCCTGGCAGAGAATCTGCCTGGAGGTTCATGGTTCAGGGAGGCTGAGCTGGCCTGGGTACACCCTGCAGGAGACAAGGCTGCCCGGGCCTGAGCTCCTCGGATGCAGCAGCCTCTGCTCCATGTCCTGCCAGCCACTCGGAACCTCCTCTGCCTCCCTCGGGTCTCTGCGGAGCCCTGCAGTCTCCCGGCCCTACCAACTCTGCGTGTCTTCTGAGCTCCTCTCACCAGGTGGGTCTCATACCCCCAGAGAGGCCAAAGGGGACAATCTAGGGGGACAGAGGAGTGCCGCCCCCTGCCCCGGGTCCCTCCCAAAGGCACCCACAGGCTGGCCCTTACAGGAGCTGCAGCGTGTACAAGCCTCCGAACACACCGCGAGGGAGGTCCGTGATCTTGTTTCCGTAGAGGACCCTGGAGAGAGTTGGGGGGGGGTGAGAGGATCGCCCAGCTTTGCAGGTGGCCTCACTCAGAGGCCCCACCTCTGACCCTGCACAGGGCACACCTGCCCACACATGTTTGTGACAGCTACTTGCCAGCAGGTGGCAGTAACGGGTCTCAGGAGGTCACCAGGCCTGCTTCTAGTCTGCACAAAGGTCTCAGATGACCCCCTTTTCTGCAGCAGCAGTCCCTGCCCACCCTCTGCCCTCACACAGACCGCATGGAGGCCTGCAAAGGGATCCTTCCATGGAACTTGTGGGAAATGAGCTGGGTCCCGGATCCAAAAGGAGACTGTTCGCAAAACAGAACAGCCCATGCATAGGGTCAATTTACATATTTCAGTTACAGGACAAAGCCGCATGCCAGAGGATGGGTTTTTATCAGATACTTCAGGATTTTCAGTTTTCTGCATTGAGCATGAAGTCCATGTAGTAGCAGGGAAAAAAGCAAGAGTTCAAAGCCACAGGCAGGCCGGCTGGAAGCGCCGGCGCTGGGAGGGAGGTGCTGTGTCCCACGCTGATGCCGCAGAGGCCCACGCCGCCGTGGAGAGGCCGCTCTGAGCCAGGCCCTGTGCGCTGCTGCTCCCAGCCTGGCTTCGAGAGGCTCCTGGAGGAGCCACGGCAGGAGCAAAGGGCCCACAGGGGACCCGGCTAGCCCATGTGGGGAGCCCACACGGCCAGGGCAGCTCAGCTGGCGAAGCAGGTGGCACAGTAGCTAGCTTTTACCCAGAGGCTGCCTCGGCAGGGCACCCCCCCCACCGCT